CTGAGCATATTCTCCTCTTTTGATTTTCTAACTCCAGGTCTTTGCGTATTTCACTATAATAACTGACTTTGTCTTTTTGAGCTGCTCTTAGAAATCTTTTGTTCAGCTCTTTGATCTTGTCATTTCATCTACTTGCTTTAGCTACTCTCTGTTCAAGAGCAAGTTTCAGAGTCTCTTCTGACATTCATTTTGGTCTTTTCTTCCTTTCTTGTCTTTTAAATGACCTTTGTTTTCTTTGTATGATGTTCCTGATGTTATGCTGCAATTCCTCTGGTTTTTGGTCACTTGTGTTCAATGCATTAAACCTGTCTCTCAAATCAGATGGGATATAAAATCAAGATCATATTTTGGGCTTCTTTTAATTGTCTTCAGCTTCATCTTGAACTTGCACATGAGTTGATTGTCTGTTCCATAGTCAGCTCCTGGACTTGGTTTTGCTGAAGATATTGAGCTTCTCTATCACCTCTTTCCACAAATATCGTGGATATGATTCCTGTGTATTCCATCTGGTGAAGTCCATGTGCATAACTGTTCATGTTGTTGAAAAAAGGTATCTGCAATGAGTAAGTTGTTGGTCTTGCAAAATTCTATCATGCGATCTCCAGTGTCATTTCTATCACGAAGGCTATATTTTCCTATGACTGGTGATTCTTCTTTGTTCCCAACTTTTGCATACTTTGCACATTTGCAATCAAGAAAGATCAATGTGATCAAAGGGGGAGAATGAACAACAGAATTTCAAGTTCTCATGGACTCCAGACTTTCTGAAGCTATGAAGGATGTATGAATCCCTAAATGTACTGCCCTGAGACAATTTTTAAACCTTGTATCAAAAATATCCCCTGAAGTCTTCTTAAAACAAAACAATAGTTTAGCTTAACTAGTAAAACTTGTCTACTTTAAGCATTATGCTCTTTTAAAATCTGTTTGGGCTCAAAATGACAACAGCAATTTGAAAGATTAGACAGGAACCTTAGGACGCAGTGAATTTATGTTAATGCAGGAGGAACAACTTAAGAAAGGAGGGTGAGAATTGTTGCACAAATTGAAGAATGTAATCAACATCCCTGCATTGTACCTATATAGAGAAACTGTGGAACTGGTGTATATTTTGCTGTGTATATTCTCACTAAGAAAATAATTTTTTTAAAAAAAGGATAAATGTATAGAATTACTCAACTGCAGTCAAAAAAATACAGTGAAGAAATACTTCCCCTATGGTGAAGTTATCACTACCCTACTAAAAACCTTGCATCTTTTCCTAACAAGTCCCAAATGTTTGAATTCCATCTTTACTCTCAAAAAAAATCTTTAGACCTATACCTAAAATGGAAGCCAAAGTCCTTGCTTTGCCTACATAATCTGGTCCCTGGTGGCTTCCTCTCCTACAATTACTCCTAGGTCACTAGATTTTTTGCTGTTCCTGAAACATGTTGTTGTTTGTTGTTATATGCCGTTGAGTCGGACCCGACTCATAGCGACCTCTCCTTGGGTTTCCGAGGCAGTATCACTACCGAAGTAGATTGCCCCATCTTCCTTCCAAGGAGTGGCTGGTGGGTTTGAACCACCAGCCTTCCGGTTAGCAGTCAAGTGTCTTAGCCACTATGCTACCAGAGCTCCCTTCCTGAAACGTAGCAGGTTCAATTCTATCCAAGAATGCTCTCATTTGTTGGTCCCTCTATCCAGAAAGCTAGTCCTCCAGACCTTTACCTAACTTCTATTAGGTCTCAGAAAAGCAGCATTTGTCATTATTCTTTTTCTTGTTATCTTGCTTTATTTTTCTTCATCCTCCCAGTTGACATTTTATGTATTTACTTGCTTTATTGCCTGTCTCCCCAGCTAGATAACAAGTAAATACATATATATCACACCAAGGATTATATCACAGAATGTACATGAAGAATGATAACATTATTAGACCCTGAACATCAGAGTTGAGGACATCTTAAATACAATGGTTAAAAATAAACTACAAAAATTTTCCTTTAATTTCTCAGACTAAACTTCTCTCTGATGTTTCCTTTATTACTCAGTAAATTTAGCTGTACCTAGGGCAAGAGATATGAAATATTTTATTTTTATATCATAGATATTACCCTTTATTGCCAGAACTGGGAAAGATTAAATATCTTTTCAATTTTATACAGGCTTCAAAAATATTGTAAAAAAGAATAAACAAACTTAATAAATAAAACACTGATTTGAACTTAATGAGATGTTCAGTCTGAGTTGGTGAGAAGAAAAAATCACAGACAACTTTAAAAAAAAACTCAACATTCTGTAATACTGAAGAAATACAGAAATGGACAGTATAATAGTCAACATCCTTGTAGCATCAGAATGTTACTTTTTCTCTCACTGAAATACATGCAGATGTAATAACTGAGTAAGTAAATCTATGAAAATTCAACTGCTGTTTTAAGAAGAAATATATTTTTGCATTGCAAAATTAATCTGTACTTCAAAATTAAAAGTAGGGCTACATCTTTTATGAATAAGATCACATTTTTGAATGTTGTACTTTCTGTTAAAGCAGTTACAGTATGTAAAGATAATGTAATAATATAATTATTATTATATTATTTTTTGTAATTAATTTTTTGTAATTAATATGTAAAAATATAATAATAAATAATGTAAAGATATAAAAATATTCTATTGAGAGGTCATCACTTTGAGTATGATTTAGGGAAACACAAAGGTTGTATCTCAAAATGTTTCCCTACTCAAAATGTCTCTTCTCTTTATCAAAGAATTTTAAATTTCAACGTCAAGAATCATTCAGTAAACACTGAGTTTCTCCCCTCATCCCAAAGGAGGGCAGGTTCTACTCAAGATATACAGTATTTCATTGCTTGATAGAGGTGCTGGAGGCCTTGAATACTGAGGAGTTCCAGATCTTCTTGCTCAAGCTCTATTCCATATTATTGGAATCCCTGGGCAGTGCAAATGGTTAATAGGCTTGGCTGCTCACTAAAAGGAAGTCTGAGTCCTGTCAGTGGCACCTTGGAAGAAATGCTTGGTGATCTACTTCTGAAAAATCATCCACTGAAAACCCTATGGAGTATAGTTCTATTCTGACACACATGGGGTTGCCATGGTCAAAATCAACTTGACAATGGATTTTTTCGTTAGTCCATACTATCAGTCTTTCAGCACCAAGAGTAGCTTTTCAAGAATCTGAAGATTTGTGTTCTGAGCTCTACTACCTCCTTAGATTCATATTCTGGTTCTCTACTTGAGGCAGTGGATACCTCCGCTTGTGTCCAATCTTTCCCCATAGACAGTTTCTTATAAAAAGGGGGAAACCTCTGAAAAGAGAAGGCCATCTTACATTATGGAGGTATGGGTGGGTAGAAGGGAGGTGAATACAAAGAAGTAGTAACACTAAAATTTTATCTAACATTTAACCTCTGGTTATCCTTTTTGGAATATTTTGATAGAATAGCATATTGGAGTTATATAAATTAGTAAAAATCTGTTTTCCAGATAAACAATAATAATAAGTTTAGGGAGTCCCTTGGGTGGTACAAACATTTAACATGGTTGGCTATTAACCAAAAGATTAGAGGTTCAAGTCCAGGTGTGCTTCAGGAAAAAAAAAAAAAAAGGCATGGAGAAAAATAAGTTCTTGAAAACTCTATGGAGCACAGTTAGACTCTCTGATACATATAAGGTTGCCATGAGTAAGAATCACTCCACAGCAACTAAGTTTTTTTTCCCCCAATAGTCTCAGATAATAATAAATTATTTACAAGTTCAACCTTATTAATATGTCTAAGCAAGATCAGTATTTCCATATTTATATATCCATTTTAACAAATATTTATTATGTTCCTATTAAGTATTAGAAGGAGCTCTGGTGGTGCAGTGCCGAAAGCATTTGACTGCTAACCAGAAGGCTGGTGGTTCAGCCACTCTGAGAAAGGAAGACCAGGTAAATCTGTAAAGATTTACCATCTTGGAAACCCAATGGGGGTCGTTATGAGTTGGAATAGACTCAATAGCAGTGGGTTATTAAGTATTAGGCACTATGGCTGGTCTAGGGTATACGGATTGAATTACATCCCCCAAATGATATACTGAAATCCCAAAATTCATACCTATAATTATGACTCTGTTTGCAAACAACGCTTTTCTTTTGCTATGCTAATAAGATAATATTGATTAGAGTGGATCATAACCTTAATTTCTTTTGAAAAACAGATACCATGTGAAGACACATCTACAAGCAGCAAAAAACACCAAGGATTGCTAACACTCACCACAACTAGGAGAGAGGTCCACAGAAGGGATCTACACAGCTGTGACTCTGAATTGGACCTGTAGTTTCCAGGATTATGACAACATAAATTTTGTTCTTTAAAGTCACCCACTTGTGGTATTTTTTGTTATGGCAACACTAGGTGGCTAAGACACAGAGGTTGCAGAAGTGAATAAAACAGATAAAATCCAAGCTCTCATGGAGCTAATACACCAATACAGGGAGACAGATGATACACACAGAGACCACATATACAAAGTCACAAGGTTATAGAAAAATACGGAAAAGTAAGTGAGAGGGGGTAGAATACAGTGATACTTTAATAGGAGGGGTCTCTCTCTTGAAGAAAGTGCATTAGCAAGGAAGGCAAAATTATCTAAGCAAATAACTCAAAGGGAGCAACAAATGCAAATGTCCTGAATTGGGGCTGTACTTGACTGATACAATGTGCAGAAAGAAATTAGTGTGGATGAAGTCGAGTAAGTGGGTGCTTTAAGTTATTCCATTGTAAGAATTGTTTATTTTTTCATCATCCAAAATACTTGAAAAGGTTGTAATAGTAATATATTCATGAACACCTGCAATGTCACAATTCTATAAAACAAAATCCTTGGTTTACATCCTACCATGTTCAGTCACTTAACAAACCAACCAAATGAACTAAGAAAAATAAGAGTTATGCCAAGAGATTTTTCAGAATGGTGAAATGAAAAGTAAATACTGTATAAAACTTTACCAAATATGCCAGGGTTTATCTTTGATGTTTTCTAAACATAGCAATTGAGACACTTTTACAGACGTCACTGCATCTCTAAGATCCATTTTGTTTGCAAAGAATAAGATGGGTATTCGGCGGTGTTTAATATCTGAAAGAGAAAAGAAGACTATCATCGTACTTCCAGGTTGGGTCACTTTGTCTTCTCCCAAATCCTTAAAATTGAAACGCACTAAAATTGTTTTCAATCACTTCTTTGCAAATTACACATAACAACAACAACAACAAGCATTTAAAGGTACATATTGTCAGGCACATATTTGAATCATAACAGAATTTTTAAAATACCTCTCTCTAACACTATCTACC